CGGTTTGAGACACAACCGGGACTAAAGGGCCCATTTGAACCGGCACTAATGCCTTTAGCCGCTCGAACCGGGACTAATGCTCACATTAGCTCGAACCGGGACTAATGCTAATGCCGGTTTGTAATGCAACCGGGACTAATGTGTATATTGCGCTGTGACCAAATCCTTGTTTTCTACTAGTGTTTGTGCTTCATGTCACTTCCGTCATCCTTATACTGTCAAATATGTATACACTTTATGAAATTATGTCCCATGTTCAGTGACGGAGCATCGTTGAAGCAAGACAGTCTCGTGGCATGTCCAGTTTGTTGTAGCAAAACAGGCCATGAGTGAAACAAATTTTGGCTCCCCTCTAGCCTGGCCCGCCCAGCCATTTTTATTATAGCTCGGTTACTCGACATGTTTGTATCAGATTTTCGATGAATAGGTCGATGTACACTTTATGCCATGATGCCATATTTTGTGAGATTCCCTCTCCCCAATACCACTCTTAATAGTTTATAAACTGATAATATCTTTATTTGGGCAATGATGTTTGTTGTGACGAGATTTTGAAAATAAGGCCGATCGATATTGAATAGTTGTTCTAACAAAATATAATTTCGACTTTAAAACCTGATCAATAGTATGAAACTCTTCCCCTCAATAATAGTAATAATATGAAGCTCTTTTAAAACTATGAAAATGATAAAAACTATGTATCTTAACATAGGGTGTCAACAAAAACTATTTTTTTAGTGCATCACACGGTTACATTCTGTACCAATATGCATAGATCTTTTTGCAAAAAAAATTCTCAATTTTATGGCGGTCCCTCAAAATCCAGAGTGAATCATATAGTTTTCATCGTGTGTCGGTGTACTTTAGGTTGTTTCATATGGTTATATATGTAAATTTTTGTAAGAAAAACAGTTTATGCCTAGTTTCATTTTGGGTCACCGTGTCCCAAGTGTATCATTGTGTTTCATAATTCGAATTTCAAAACTTGTAGGAATATATTCAAGACAGGTCCTATTTCAAAGTCAATACCACCAAGAACGCAAATATGCAAACTAATTATAAATTAGACTTTTGGTTTAAAAAAAGTATTCAAACATGGAAATCAGATATTAATGCATGGGGTGAGCGGAGCAAAGCCTGGCACTATGGGTGAAACATAGTGTGTCTTGAATCTCGCACATAATTTGTGAAAAAAGTTGTCAGGGTTATGTGATGTAATAGAAATACAAGGAGATATATGCAATGAATTCATAATCCCTCCAGATGGGAATATGAGTCAGGCACACATAGTTCTTTGGTTTGATTAGCAAAAATGTGTTGTAGGTCACAAAATATTTATTTTGAGATTAGTCATCAAATGAAGTTTCTAAAAATACATATTTTGTGTCATTTTATACATGTTTTCCTAGTTAATCCGACGACCTAAATTTCCATGCAAGACTTATATTCCCATCCAGAGGGAGAAGAATGTTGCACTAGTCTCGAAAAAGATGGACAGGTGAGGCATGCACGATATATCCAGTGCATTTTTTTTATAATGGTCACTTTATTACTTAAAGGTTTAAGCATTACACCCGTCCTCTGCAGAACTGAGATGCACACAGCCATACCAAGTCGAATCTAAAAAATAAAAAAATAAAGGCAAAGTACAAGAAATTGAGTTTGTATGCCGCCTAAACTGTAGGATGGCCAATTCTAAGATCATGTTGCCATTCATGTTGAGTAAAAGTATCCCTTGCCGTGTGCTCCAAGCGTGCACACACCTCTGTAAACAGGTCTTGATTGTCCACACGTTGTAGAGACGACTATAAACGGAGTGTACCGGTACACCTGTAAATAACCTGCATAAGAGAAGTACTTTCATGTTGAAAACCTTATAATTCCTATATAGCCAAAGCGACCAAATAATGGCAAGCGCTCCCACCCTGATAACAATTCTAAACTTGTGATAAATCCCATGTAATCAGTTGCAAAAAATATTAGCAACATTACATGGAGAATACAAGCCAAAAGCTATTTGGATGATTGACCATATAGACCAAGCTAATTTACACCGAAAGAACAAGTGTTTTATTGTTTCGTCATGATGATAAAAAAACACATTGCATATTTCCATACCAATTTCTCTTAATAAGGCTATCTTTGGTAAGAATGATTCCTGGAGGAAGATACCATGCAAAGATTTTATTATTAAGCGGCATCTTCATCTTCCAGATCTTCTTCTTATTATAAACTGCCACATCATATTGGATCAACGCTCTATACATTGAATCTACCGAGAATTTACCACTCGCATTTAGATTCCACCAAAATTGATTGACTCCATGTGATAAATGTACCATGGCGAGACGATTTATCAAATCATTCCGCGATGCAAGTCTGAGGCCTATTAAATCTCGTCATTCGGGGGAAAGGATTCCATAATCGTGGCGATAGTATCACCCTTATGACGAACAATATTATATAGAGCTTGATATTGTTTCAGGAGTGTGGCATTTCCTAGCCACTTGTCGAGTGCATAGTACATCCAGCATTGTTGCGGGCATAATGAAGTATAATGTAATGAGGTTTGCTTCAGTAGATACCCAATTAGAAAAAAAGATCATAACTTTCGATGCTAACAGCAGTGAGATTAGAAGATACCCTTTCATTATACATGTATTATAGTAGTTACGAAAACTAGTTTATTTGGATAGCCCCATGCATGTGACCCAATCGCCCCATAATCCCATCAATCTATATGTATTTCGTCCACTGATCCATCGTTGATCTGATCAGAATCTGTCTCGGTAGGACATAATAATTTGTGGATGCCTTAAAAATCTTTCTTGCAACCATCAGTTGCACAAACTTTTCTTTCTATTGACGGATCGAAGCACAAGGCTTTCGCATTTTCTCGAATAAAAGAATGAGGTGAATATCATAAATTGATCTCACTATTTGATGGAGAAAATAGCTGGTCAATGAAAAAAGCAATATCTTAAATGATCAATATTTTAAGGGAATTAGAAACTCGTACGAAAAAATAGACAATTCATAGCCTAAACAGTTGTGTACTTAAATATTGGAATCCACTAAACGTTGCAAAGCAACATCAGATGTCCCACCTTCGCTAGTGCACTTCACCACCACATGCCTCAGATCTCTCATTCTTTCTCTGACCATTTCACCCTCCTTTCCATCCATCAGTCTTGTGATGGCCGCCTGGACTTCCCCTCTCTTCAACTGGTTCTCCACCTCCACCCTAACCCCCACCTTCCAGACATCACACACGTACCTGGCAGTACCCATTTGATCGCCGGACAATGGTCTGCATATCATCGGCACACCTTCCGATATGCTCTCCGTCGTCGAGTTCCACCCGCAGTGCGTGAGGAACGCGGCCACAGACGGATGCCTCAGCACCTCCTGCTGCGGAGCCCAGCTCACTATCCTACCTCTGTTGCCCATCTTCTGCTGCAGCTCGCCAGGGATCGCACTGGACTCGCAATCGTGCACAAGCCTCGGCCGGACCACCCACACAAACGGGCGCTGGCTGTTAGCCAGGCCCCAGGCCATCTCCAAGAACTCATCTGTGTCGATGCCCACCAGGCTCCCAAAGCTCACGTAGACCACAGAGTTTGGCCGTTGTGTGTCCAACCAGTCCAAACAGCTGCGATCTTCTGTCAGTAGGCTGCTCTCGACGGATGAAGACGTCATCATGTGCAGAGGGCCGATGGAGAACACCGGGAGGGCAATCTCGCTGCGGATTCTCTCGATCTCCATGCCCTCGATGTCTTCGGATGTGTTGATTATTAGGCCCGAGGATTGCCGTACGCCGGCGACGATGTGGGCGAGGAGATCTGTGTACGCGAGGTGTCGAGTCTTGTCCATCACACGATGCAAGTCTTGCACAACGAAGGGGGGAAGCTCCTCCACTGCAATGTTGAAATTTGACTCTGATGGACAGATGAACGATTATTCAATATCGGCTCCAACCAATCAAGCAAAGAAAAGACGACAATTAAGGAGCAAACCGAGTGATTGCCAATGTGTGCTCTAAAATGGAATTTAGATTCCAATAGTACGTACCCGGTTGAATACGCAAAATGGCTGTTCTCGATCACGCATGTGTAATGGGTACTGACTGGCTACTACGTAGTATATTACATACAGTATGCTCCTTAATTTTCAGGCCTCCTAAACAATTGAGGTCTTCAATTTGATACTGTGTCACCCGATTTTAACCGGATCAACAATTTCACATGAGCTCTTTCGTTCAATTATTTTAGTTCACTATGCTCCTTAACTTTCGAGCTCTCTTGTTCGATCTAGAGGTATACAATTTTGGATTTGGTTCATATTTTGATCGGGTCAACAATTTTTAAAATCAAATGACAACAACCGGCCTATAAAAATATATCAATCCCGCGCACCCTCTCACCATCTAGAAAAAAGAAACGCCAGCATATGATACTATATATAGGACCAATATAGTACAGGCAGTCATCGACTTCCCACACTGTAAAAGGCCCACCTAAACACCACATTATTACATACACTATGGTCCCTAATTTTTAAGGCCTCCTAAACAATTGAGGTCAGCCGATTTTGACTGGGTCAACAATTTATCATGGAGCTATCTCAATCAATTATTTTAATTCACCATGCTCCCTAATTTTGGAGCTATCTCATTCGATTGAAGTATAGAATTTTGGATTTGGCTCATATTTTGAACGGGTCAACACTTTTTTCTAAATCAATGGGTAGCAACCGGCCTGTAAAAATACATCAACCCGCTGCACCCTCTCATCACCTAGACAAAACAAGAAATGCCGACATATATATGTTATTATAGCACCAATATAGTGCATGCAATCATCGACGCAGAAAATTTCCCCACACCATGAAGAACCACCAAAACACTGCACTTGTCAAACCAAATATTCCCTCAGTTTCATAATGTAAGATGTATTAGTTTTTTGAAAATTCAATTTTCTTGTAATTTTACGAAGTCTACAGCCAAAAATATCGACATCTACAATAATAAATATATAAAATCTAAAAATTCATTTCATGATGAAGCTATTGATACTGATTTGATATTATGGATATTGATACATTTCTCTACAAATTTGATCAAACTTTAAAGAGTTTTGACTTCTCAAAAAGCCAATACAGCTTACATTTTGAAAAAAGGGGGAGTAACTTTTTATGAAATACAAATAATACCAACGACGCAGCAAAGCGCGCCCATCTCTTCTAGTAGCACATGAATTTGGTCAAACAAATCTAAAAACATATTCACCACCACCACCACCAACAACAACAAAGCCTTTAGTTCCAAAAACATATTCACCGTGTTGTAAAAATCCTCTAATGCAAAAGGAAAATGCAGTAGGGGAAGCGGCCTACTTTGATTTCATTTTTGTCAAATTATGAACCAAAATTTACGCTCGTGAGGCAGTAAAGTAGGCCTACAATAATTTTGTTTTTGAAGGAATATGAATCCAAATTAGCAATCGCGAGGACTTGAACCAATGGCCAGGTTGTACATCCATTCCCCTCGCAAGAAAAAAAAAGCTAGGCTCATTTCTTGTAACTTTTGGTTTTATCATGTACATTGGTTGTTCATAGACCACAGATGAAGATAACCATCTTCATATTTTACGAACTTGTTTTTTAGGACGTTTGTAAAAAAATCTTAATTGACAACATCGATTAATTAGATCGTAGATCGCATCTTACCTACTTCAAAAAAAGGAAAGAATGTACCTACTTCATTTTCTATCTTTGTTTCTCCTATTCGAGGATCGTACCACTCACAGACCCACGTGATAACGGAGATGGACTGATGGAGTGGGTGATTAGGTGAAGTTTTGGGTGGTGGGGGGAGGGGGTCACACTCACAACCTTTGTGTATGCATGTCATGTTCATGTTGTATTATTTGTTTGGCGGGACACGTCAGATTGTACTTTAAAAATGCAAGTACTAGCAACGCTGTTTTGTTAGCAATAATTCGGATCTAGCAACGCTGGTTATGCTGTTGTTCCGAGAACGAACCTAGCTACTATGTGATATAAGGTTCTCTGTTGATCGATTGAAACCAGACATTATTGCGGATATCCATCGAATATACTAATTTCTTTCGTTGGACGAACTGAGAAAAGCTAGCTAGACCTCCAAACTCCAAACAAAGAGCACAACAATGGCGATTTGGTATTACCTTGAACGGGCAAGTAGCCCTTGTGGCATAGACTTGGGTACGCCAAGTACACCAGGAACCTGACGGCGCTGCTCGTCATGAGGGCCAGAGCGGCCACGCCAAGCTCCCTAGCCACGGAGAGCGGCACAAACCAGTCCACGTCGGCGACCACGAAGGCGACGTGGCCGTCCTCCCCTTCCTCCTCCTCCCTGAGGGCGCCGGCCAGGTAGTCCCGGAACGCCGCTGCGCAGTTCCTATTCAGCGCGAAGACGAACGACGCGACGTCCCTGGACGCGGCGACCTCCGGAGGTATGTTGTCCGGGATGGTGACTAGGCGGTAGTCCGCCGGGAGCTTCCCGCGGTCCGGCGCGCGGGTCTCTGGGTGGAGGATGGTGACCGCGAGGCCACGGGAGTGCAGCGCGGCGGCGAGGCGAAGCATGGGGTTGATGTGGCCTTGGTAGGGCAGCGGTAGGAGGACCACGCGGCGGCGGTCGCGGTTGGTGCTGCTTGGCGCCATGGCGATTGTGTTAGGCCGTGACTGCGTGAGTGCGTTGTGTGGCTGCAGAGGAGGAAAGCTGTGTTTCTTTGTCTCGGAGAGAGATGGTGTCCCCTCCAAACTGTAAGAGTTGGTGCATTGTAGACCTTCAAACCAGACACTACATCCTTCCGCGGATCCTGAGGACCAGTCTATGGACATTAATGGAGATGTCAACAAACCGAACAAAATTTGTGCAAACCGGATAATTTTCATATCAGTTTTGCCAAAGCACATCTAGATGTGCCATAAGTATTGCACATCTAAGTCATATGTCATTGATCTTACATTAAGATTCGTGTGAATATTTTCTTTCTCTTTTTTCTTTTTCTTTTATGCTTGATTCACTGACTTAGATGTGCAATAACTAGAGCACATCTAAATGTGCCCTAGACACACCATTTTCATATAAACCAGGCGAAAACATTTACATTTCGGAAATATTTCAACTAAAGTATAGTGGACTGGGCTATGCTATTCTAATATAGTCTATCGCCGGCCACAGCGGATCCCATTTCCCGCAACATGTCTTCCCTATGTCCGGCAGCAAACTCACCGGACCGCCCCGAGCCTCGGAGGAATATGCTTCAGCGGGAGGGAGAGAGTAGCCTCTGTTTCCACGAAGCACGAATCAAGGTTGGCTTTGGGGGCTGTGGAAGACGGTCACCGTGGCCTACACCCCCATGAAGTGGGCAAGTGACCAACTGTGTAGGCCGGCGAGGCGTAGGCGGTGGCCTTCTTGGGACACAAGCGACGGCGGTCTCCCATGGCCTACTTTTTCCTCGGTGTTGGTGGCGACCGTAGGCATGGCCGACGCGGAGTTGACGATGTCATAGTCGGTGCCCCAGTCAAATTCCTTCGCCGCCGTGTCGACCTCCACGAACATGGCTTCTTTCTTTGCTTGTTGGATGTGTTGCGGTCATCACTCGCGACGGATTCGCCGGGAGACAGCGTTGGCCAGCCTGTGGTGGCGACGGCTCCTGAGAGCTTGCCGGCAAGCTAGTCCGTCTCTGGCTGGATCATCAGGACACATGGCGGGCTGTAATGCCAGAGAGCTCCTTCTTCTTCTCACCAAACAGGCCGTCCCACCGTGCATTGGAGCGATAGGCCATGGCGGGTGTGGTGCAAGGAGGAGATAGAGAGCGGAGTTGTGGTGTGGTTCTTGCCCGGTACCACTAGTAGAAAAGGGGGCAACGGTCCAGGCTGGGTCAGCCCATTAGTCCCGGTTCAGTCTAGAACCGGGACCCATGGGGGCATTGGACCCGGTTCGTGAGCCCAGGGGGCCGGCCGGGCCACGTGGGCCATTGGTCCCGGTTCGTCTGGACCTTTTGGTCCCGGTTGGTGGGACGAACCGGGACCGATGGCCTCGCTCCTGGCCCACCACCATTGGTCCCGGTTGGTGGCTTGAACCGGGACCAAAGGCTCCCCTTTAGTCCCGGTTCATGCCACCAACCGGGACCAATGAGGTGCCTATATATACCCCCTCGCATAAGAGCAGAGCACACTACTTTGTTTTTTTCTGGCCGAGGGGGAGAGGGCTTGGTGGTGCTCTAGCTCACCTCCTATGCACACAAGGTGTTCGATGGAATGCCCGAGCCACAGTACTTAAGCTTCCTCCTCTCCAAGCTCGACCTTCAAGCTTCATTTTCTTCAATATTTGTCTACGTTTAGCGGTCCGTCACGCCCCGTCCCTGTCTTCACCGCCGTCGATCACCCGCGCCGAGCTCATCGCCGGCACCACCGTGGTGAGCCTCTTGTTCTTATCTTCTTTTTGAAAGGAAAAAATATTCTTACTTGTATATTTACATAGATACTTGTATTATTTTCTTACTTTTATTATTGCATCTTATATAGTGCGATGGTTTTGGTATCCGCCCCCGTCGGCCCTCGTTCTGTCTATGATTCAGATGTGGTATATATATTATAATTTATAACTATTGGTTCATTTATTGTTTATGAAAATTATGCCGACCAACATGACCTAGATTTTATTTATGTAGGATGTATGTGAATCGGAAATTCCAACCGACCCTATTGTCGAGAGGTTAAATTTAGTTGAAGAAGAAAACAATTTGTTGAAGGAAAAAAATTGAGGAGGAGAAGATGATATTGGAGTTGCATGTTGCGGATGTCGTCGATGATCACAAGATCAAGATGGATGCAATGCGCTTGAAGATTAGAAAGATTAGAAAATATGCCATTCATACCGAGGCTTGGTATCATTATGCCGTTGGATCAATTGTTACATTGGTTGCGATTATGATCACATTTGTTTTCGCATTGAAATGTTTTACATAGTTTCAATGTATGGTTTAATTAATTAGATGCTCTGGAGAGATATATGTTGTTAGACGAGAACTATGTATGTACTTTGGTTTTAATGTGATGATGAACTTCTATTAATTTGACACTTAATTATATATAATGCACGCAGATGAACCGGCAATGGATGTACGGTGACAGACACACCTCCGAGTACATTAAGGGCGTGCATGAGTTTCTCGATACGGCTGAGGCAAACAAGCAGAATGGTTTTATGTGTTGTCCATGCACTGAATGTGGGAATACGAGGTCTTACTCTAACCGGAAAATCCTGCACTCCCACCTGCTTTACAAGGGTTTCATGCCACACTATAATGTTTGGACGAGGCACGGAGAAATAGGGGTTATGATGGAAGACGGCGAAGAAGAAGAGTACGATGACAACTATGTTCCCCCTGAATACGGTGATGCTGCAACGGGGGGAGCTGGTGAAGATCAAGAGGAACCAGACGATGTGCCCAATGATGCTACAACGGGTGAAGCTGCTGAAGATCAAGAGGAACCAGACGATGTGCCCGATGATGATGATCTCCGTCGGGTCATTGTCGATGCAAGGACGCAATGCGAAAGTCAAAGGGAGAAGCTGAAGTTCGATCGCATGTTAGAGGATCACAAAAAAGGATTGTACCCCAATTGCGAAGATGGCAACACAAAGCTCGGTACCGTACTGGAATTGCTGCAGTGAAAGGCAGAGAATGCTGTGGCTCACAAAGGATTTGAGAAGTTACTGAAAATATTGAAGAAGAAGCTTCCAAAGGATAACGAATTGCCCGACAGTACATACGTAGCAAAGAAGGTCGTATGCCCTCTAGGATTGGAGGTGGAGAAGATACATGCATGCCCTAATGATTACATCCCCTACCACGGTGCATACAAGGATCTGAACGCATGCCCGGTATGCGGTGCATTGCGGTATAAGATCAGACGAGATGACCCTGGTGATGTTGACGGCGAGCCCCCCAGGAAGAGGGTTCCTGCGAAGGTGATGTGGTATGCTCCTATAATACCACGGTTGAAACGTCTGTTCAGAAACGAAGAGCATGCTAGGTTGATGCGATGGCACAGTGAGGACCGGAAGAAAGACGGGAAGTTGAGAGCACCTGCTGACGGGTCGCAGTGGAGAAAAATCGAGAGAAAGTACTGGGATGAGTTTGCAAAGGACCCAAGGAATGTATGGTTTGCTTTAAGCGCGGATGGCATTAATCCTTTCGGGGAGTAGAGCAGCAATCACAGCACCTGGCCCGTGACTCTATGTATGTATGACCTTCCTCCTTGGATGTGCATGAAGCGGAAGTTAATTATGATGCCAGTTCTCATCCAAGGCCCTAAGCAACCCGGCAACGACATTGATGTGTACCTAAGGCCATTAGTTGAAGAACTTTTATAGCTGTGGAATGGAAACGGTGTACGTACGCGGGATGAGCACAGACAGGAGGAATTTAACCTAAAGGCGTTGCTGTTCGTGACCATCAACGATTGGCCCGCTCTCAGTAACCTTTCAGGATAGACAAACAAAGAATACCACGCATACACGCACTGTTTAGATGACACTGAAAGTATATACCTGGACAAATGCAGGAAGAATGTGTACCTGGGCCATCGTCGATTTCTTCCGACCAACCATCAATGTCGAAAGAAAGGCAAGCATTTCAAAGGCGAGGCAGATCACCGGAAGAAGCCCGCCATGCGTACCGGTGATCACGTACTTGCTATGGTCAATGATTTACACGTAATTTTTGGAAAGGGTCCCGGCGGACTAGCTGTTCCAAATGACGCTGAGGGACACGCACCCATGTGGAAGAAGAAATCTATATTTTGGGACCTACCCTACTGAAAAGACCTAGAGGTCCGCTCTTCAATCGATGTGATGCACGTGATGAAGAACCTTTGCATGAACCTGCTAGGCTTCTTGGGCGTGTATGGGAAGACAAAAGATACACCTGAGGCATGGGAGGACCTGCAACGTTTGCACGAAAAAGACGGCATGCCTCCGAAGCAGTATAAAGGTCCTGCCAGCTACGCTCTTACGAAAGAAGAGAAAGAAATCTTCTTTGAATGCCTGCTCAGTATGAAGGTCACGACTGGCTTCTCGTCGAATATAAAGGGAATAATAAATATGCCAGAGAAAAAGTTTCAGAACCTAAAGTCTCATGACTGCCACGTGATTATGACGCAACTGCTTCTGGTTGCATTGAGGGGGCTTCTACCGAAAAACGTCCGATTAGCCATTATGAAGCTATGTGCATTTCTCAATGCAATCTCTCAGAAGGTGATCGATCCAGAAATCGCACCAAGGCTAAGGAGTGATGTGGCGCAATGTCTTGTCAGTTTCGAGCTGGTGTTCCCACCATCCTTCTTCAATATCATGACGCATGTCCTAGTTCATCTAGTCGACGAGATTGTCATCCCGGGGCCCATATTTCTACACAATATGTTCCCCTTTGAGAGGTTCATGGGAGTCCTAAAGAAATATGTCTGTAACCGCGCTAGGCCAGAAGGAAGCATCTCCATGGGCCATCAAACAGAGGATGTTATCGGGTTTTGTGTTGACTTCATTCCTGGCCTGAAGAAGATAGGTCTCCCTAAATCGTGGTATGAGGGGAGACTGACTGGAAAAGACACTCTTGGAAGTGACTCAATAATATGCAGGGACGGATATT